TTGCAATGCATTTCGTGATTGAAATACTGGGTTCATAAAACGTTTGCAATAATAACTTTAAGGTTCAAGTTTCTATGTAAAAAAGTTTCGTACAGTTTCTTTTGAAATTTGCCAGTTGCCACCACCAGCTCATTGGACACGCGAGGAACACAAAAACTTACACTTCAAATTAGACATCACACATGTTCATGTTCATAATGTAGGCTAATTCAATGTTGGCAAACAAAATACTCATGCTGAAACAAATAAATATAAAGCAAATTGAACAGGGAACATTCTACCACATGTACACGGCACGCATCACAATAAAAACTCCATATACCTGTTTAATGCATGTGACGTGAAGACTCTACACTCATTTTTGCAATTATGGACATGTGGGTATTTAAGATTCTTTGGTCTCATTATTTTTTAGATGTGTTTTGAGTTTTTACTATGACAAATGCAACATCTCTGAGTTTCATGTACAAGTGGAAAAAATTAACAGGCATTATCACACACTTTATCTATGGGGAAAAACATGCAAGTTCCACGTGAAAATATGTGTAACATAACATTTTCAGACACAGTTTTGGGGAAGCTGCTAAAATGTATTAAAGAAGGTCATTAGCGTTCCTGTATAATGGTGAGTTTTGTAACTTGACAAGCAGTTTTATGCCTGCTACAGACTTTGCGATTTTGGCAATAATATAAGATCATTACAAATCACACTGTACGACATCTAATAAACTTGGGCACGACATGTATGTAGACAGACTGTACGATGTTGATACATTGATACACGTTAATATAGAAGAATAAAACACCATCATCATGCGCTCGTGGTAAACAAATAATAATAACAAATAAATAAATCACACTTTGGCAATTGAGGTTTTTATGTGCGCTGAAAATAAGAGAAGTAAGCGAAAGAGGAGAATATGGACGCGACCATTTCTAAGGAAAAGAGGCCAACTTGGCATGCCTATTTTGTAAATGGAGCTTAAGGTAAGTAGTTATAAGTTTTAGCACCTGTCGGTTTGATCAATACACCATTTCATGTTGCATTTTTATTGGTTAGTTAGTAGACGTGTAGCAGCAAACACTGTGAGATGATCATGCTAAACTTCTGGCACTCTCAGAAAATTATCGCAGGCTATCTTTGGGTGCAAGACCGTGACAACAGCAGTCTTTGAACCTCTCTCACTGTACGACGTTTAGGAGCCACGACCACAGAAATCACCACGATTGGTCATCTTTCATCTGGGACAGCCCAAAATCAGCCCGGGCATAAGAAACGATTACATTTTGTTGTAGTTTACTGATTTATTTCTTTGCTGACAGTGCTGCTTAGTCTTTAGATAGAATCCTATTTTGATATTCATCATGGCTGTGATCAAAAGAGATTGGTTGCCATCACCCTATGATTTCATTTGAAAAACTGTTCACTCTGTGGGGACTTGTGTATAAAAAAGGGGGTCACGGAATGGTCGGGACTCTCTGTTGTTTGCAACACTAGGGTGTAGCCTTCAGAAACCAAAGAATTGTGGGGTGAGCGGTAACCGAGGCTGCATAAGGTTATGTAAGCAAAAGGGGTTCACTTCCAGTTCTTCTAGAGGAGAGCAACTTCAGCCAGTGATTGACATGCCATTGAGCCACCAAACAAATTTAAGATAAAAGCCAGTATTGCATAAGATTTGGATTAGCCACAAAACTTAAACAAAATTGCAGTTGACTTAGCAGATTCTCAAGGGCCACGCTTCTAAAAAAAAAACAATGTAAACATAGCACAGAATCATTTTGAATCCATCCAGCAGCACCACCCTCACATTGCATGCCTTGTACTCAAGTTAGTTGCCGGGTTCCCAGCCGGTCATTTCTGTTCCGTTTTTGATGAAGCTGGAGTGTATCCATAAAACATTCCACAGGCAGAAAAAGGCTAAAGAACATATGTCAAAATGTCAGGGTGTAGCTACTGTATGGCGGCTCTTGGCTTTAAGTTCGTATATGTTGTTGGGCAACTAAATATAAAGCTAATTACTATGACAGAGATGAAAGAAGAGACACCCCCCTCCCACACACCCCCATATACAAATAACCGTAAACATTTTCAAACTGTCATTATCATCAAATCTGTTATTACAAGAATTGGTCTCTTCATTAAGAGTTCTTGGGCTAGACACTCTCAGAAAAAAAGGTACAAACGCTGTCACTGGGGTTGTACCTTTTCAAAAGATACACTTTTGTTTCTTTTAGGTACTAATATGTACCTTTAAGTTACCAATAGGCACCCTTTAGTTACAAAAGTGTACCTTTTGAAAAGATATCTCCAATTGTAAATAAAAATCTAAAACAATATTAAGTGAAAGATGGGTGTTTTGATTTATTTGGAAATGATCTATACTGGATCTTGTGTGAACATGTGACTTGCAAATGCGCACAGGAGGGATTTTTCATCAAAACTGATTGCTGAAATTGGAAAATGACAATGAGTTAGTGTAAAAGCGAGTCAGTGTACCGCCATTGTATTGAAATACCCAACATTCATTAAATGATCTACTTTTGCGTTTTGTACAAGAATTAATACATGAGGATAAGTAAATGGTGACATATTTATTTTTGGGTGAACTATTACTTTAAAAAGCAATGCATGTTGCATAAGGAATAACACATTCAGTTCATTTGTGCATGATCAAACCTCACAATTTTGTTGTCATATTTTTGTTTTATGCACTATAAAAGTATCCTATTGTTTTGTAACTCTATTACAATTTAGATTAAATGATGCATTGCATATTCTACTGGGCTGGCAACGAATTATTCTAAATTATTATTGTTTCGTTGTGGCAAAACATGTTTCAGTCAACACTGCACAAATGGTTTGGATTGTGTCTGGCTTTGGCGCTCATCATGGTTTATTTTTTATTGCATCAGTCAAACAATGTACTGTAATTGCCTTGCTTTATGCCATAAACACTGTTTATGATGTATTGTGATAATTCCATGGATGTACAGACTGCCTTGTCAGTAATTGTCTCAGATATGTGTGAACATAAGTGCTCATTTAGAGACCAAAAAACAACAGCTGAGGGTGCTCTTAACAGCAGATGTTACAGTCACCATATTGTCCAGTGGTGCCATAGAATGGGTCCAGCCTGAATGACAGAAATCCTCATGATGCATCGCAGCCTGCATATAATGATCTTTTGCAGGAGAGTGAATACTTTTTATGACACTTGCAAGCCAGCCACCTATTGAATTAGTTCATAGATGCACTATACTGTTGCTATGGCGCAGTTCAAAGTGTTAAAACGGTTTAAACTTGTCAGAAGTCAATATGAGGGCCTGCACATGCATGCTTGGCACGGGAGAAAAGACCATAATGGGGTACCGCAATTTGAAAAAAGAAGAAAAAGAGGAAAGAAAGTGTAATATTTTTAGTTCCAAATTACAACGTTGGAACTGTTGCTTTGCTCAGCCGACTGTCCGGGGACTGGAATGGCATGATGGGAGCGCAGCCACTGCCAAACTCCACCCAGGTCCCCTCCCTCCTTCCCTCTGGCCTCTGCTTCTCATCTCCCCTCGAGGCACTAAAATCGGAGACCTGGTTTCCACCGCCCCTGATTTCTCCTTTTCCCTGTCCCTCAGCTGGGTCTCACCGGCAGTGGCAATGAAAGCCATTCTTAACTCGATGTGCGGTGAACCACTTTCATTAGTTGCACGTAAAAGAGAAAAAGACATGTCATCGTAATGCAACCCTTCCATCGGGCCTGCATTTTTTAGGATTGCACAACAATTCATTAAAGCTACCCTCCTTGATGGTAGACCAAGGTTCACAGAGTCGAGAAAACCCCTCTATAACCCTTCTGTTCAGTTCATACGAGGTTTTCAATTGTGTTTGCTCCTGCACACAGGATTTGATCCCTACATGCTTTTTTCTGTCAAAACCAATAGAGAAGAAATAAAGAAGAAGCTTTGCAAAACTTCCACCAAAGAAAATGCAATCACTCATACGCTTTCTCTCTGAATAATCCTAAAATATGTTCTTGCCTAGCTACAAGTCTTTGCAAGTAAATTGAAAAGAATTTTTTTGGTGCTAATTTAGTCATTTACCTCCGAAACTGTAAATTGTTTTGTGTCTAAAATTTGACCCTACGTGTCCTGAGTACAGGATCTTCCACTACTCTGTGGGCACTCAAAGTACACAGACACAGAAGTTTACCATCTGCCGTGCCAAAATACCTGGCAACTGATGTGAAAACAACACAAGAATCATTTGTCTACCCTATGCTTGAGCTCTGAAGTTTAATGATAACAATGCCATTTTATATTCTTGCCACAAACTCCTTCAATAAATTAGATAATGTCTACATCTATTTACACCTCTTTTAAAGCGAGCAACGGAGGGACAAGCCCTATTTTAGAAATTACGAGACAAATAACTAAAATTAACTACATGTAACACGGAATCTCAAGATCCCAGTTAAACGGTGGTTTAAGATTCTTTAGCCAGTTCATGATATAACTACTATTCTTGGAAAGGAAACTGGCTTGCAGCAATTGGAAGCTTGCATGAGTAGGTTTTAATACTTGTAGGAGAAAGAAAAAGTGGTGAAGTAACAAGACTGGCCGTAAGTAGAAAGTAAAGCTGTAAGTTTTAATTAAGTACACCCATAAAATGTATTTTTAAACCAATGCATCTACTCCTAGCAATCCAACTGGTTTGAAGTCTTAATATATACTCTCTTTTGTTCTTCTGAAGACATTTTAGCAGCATCTAAGCCACTTCAGATGATGGGGGAGGGTATTGCCAATTTGAACGCCTTGCACGTAATTGACGAGAAAGAAACAACACTCTTTAGCAGGTATTCCATGTCCATTTTTTTATAAGTAAGGGGAGGGGATGGTGGAGGATGGATTTCAGAGGGCTTGCTATGGAGAGGCTCAGGATTGGTGGATGCCGTTGTTTGGCATGGCCCCCTGCCAAGCACTTATGTCTTTATATACTGTAAACAGATGACCGACCAGTCCCGAGCGTGTCTCTGTGTTCACCCTCTCTTTCTGGGCTCTCTCCATCTTCTCTTTCTTCCCTTCTTCATCTTTTCTGTAGACCTTTGCTGCATCTGCACACCCTTCAAGACTTTCAACAAGACCGGGCAAAAACAGCAAACACATCCTCCTCCATAAAAACTCTTGAGTCACTTTTCAAGAAACCGCCAGTCAAGCCTTCAGCTGTTTGTAGTGTCGGTGTGGGAGAAAGAAACCATGTCTCAGCAGATGTTGCTCTTGACGGTGGTGTCCATTTGGCTTTTTGCCGGGTACTTTCTGGCAGAGGCAACATATTCCAACCACCATATGCACAACCGCTATCGTGCGTTCAATCACCATACCAACATGGACAATCAGCTTCCTCCAGAGGTACCTGTGGTGAAGGAAGCAGTGGCCCCTCGTCCGGTCAACTTCAGTCGCACCTTTTATGGGATCATGTTTGATGCTGGCAGCACCGGCACCCGTATCCACATTTACAGGTTCATTCAAAAAGACCCAGGTAAGTCTCTCCATGTCCTTTCTCCATATGCCCTTTTTACGCACTAAATGAGCTCTGCAGATACCCAGGTTACTTACTTGCTCCTCTTGTAGCTAGAATTTCAATATTTTCCTCTCCAGATGTGTTGCTCTGATTGTCCTGACTCACATCCATGTTTCGGTGTAGTTTAGACCATGAACTCAGAATGATCTTGAAGAGTCCCGCCTTGCACACTCTCTGAACGGCTGCCCTCTTCATTTCTCTCTCTCTCTATCTCTCTCTCTCTCTCTCTCTCTCTCTCTCTCTCTCTCTCTCTCTCTCTCTCTCTCTCTCTCTTGATTTCTTTCTTACTGCATCCCTGTCAGGAGCCTGTGGCTCATAGCACGTCTGCTTACTGTGTCTGTGTTTGCCGTGGTTCATTCACTGCATGGTGTGAAGGCAAACAGAAACACAGGGGTGGGAAGAGGAAAGAGGGATATGGAGAACGATGGGTAATAAGCAGCTGCAGTTTCATTTAATAAATTGCAACCCTTAGCAATATGTTAAAGATTATGGGTTTGAGCTGATAATGCAGTAATTGGTTCCCCAAAATACCCATCAAATGGAGACATGGCATCACTCCTGATGAGGTAAACTCTGAGCCTTGAGAAACTCTTAATTTGCCTGTCTGGAAAAATCTTGGTGGTCGCCATTTGTGGTAAACATACAATAACCAAATGTCTCTGCTCATGCACAATAACCTTTTAAGAGATGGAGTCAAGTTGCCCACAGTCCATCGCTAATGTGCACCTTCTAATAGCATACGTCTTCAATTGTCCCCTCTGACATTTCTGTCTGTGTCTGTGTCCCACAGCGGTGCTTCCAGTGCTTGACAATGAGATGTACCATGCCGTGAAGCCTGGATTATCAGCATATGCAGATAAGCCTGAAGAGGTAAGCCACTAACTTTCTTATAACATCAGGGAACGTTATTTCTATTACATTCTAATGTCTTAGACTTTTTCCAGTATCGTCTGTGTAGTGCAGATGGAGAAAGCATATGTATGTATATATTTTTTTTCACTGAAGATAACAAGAAAAATCTGCACTCAGCACTATGGAATTATAGACTGTGCAATGATTATTTACTTTAGTTTGTGACCACACAGTAATTTCTGTTTTTGCAGATGTTCTAATAAAATAAAATAAAAACTGCTTTATGCCAGTACTCTACTGATGGGTTTTTCTCAACATGTTCAACTATGTAGCCATGAGCCAAGGACATTGAAATGGTTAATAATTCGGCTCTCCATTGAGAGACCTTGTTGCTGGTAGACAAACAAGATGCCAGTTCAGCTGTTTATAGATCATACTATTGTTACAGGACAGGGCTAGGATGGTTCCTTTGACTTCTCTTTGAGGAATTGTGGTGTATTTGCAATAATATGTACATATTTTCCATTTGCTAGGGTGGAGAAACCCTTAGGCAATTGCTGAAGGTGGCTAAGAAGACGATTCCCAAAGAGGAATGGATACAGACACCTGTGGTTCTGAAAGCCACTGCCGGCTTGCGCCTGCTGCCTCAAGAAAAAGCCAAAGCCTTGTTGGATGAGGTAAGGCTTCATCTCTTTCTCAGACATTTTGGAAGAGAAACCAACCATTCCAAAGGGATGCAAACCACGTTGTGTGTGAGACAGAGAGAGAAAGACAGGAAACGTAAGAGAGAAGAGAAACCAATACTGTGCAAAAGCAGCTGTTCTGAGGCTGTCTGGAGTTAAAGGAACCCAAATGCCTTTTGAATTATCGTATTCAATGCCACCACACCAGCCGCACTTGTGGTTTCTAGCTTGCCCAGTTTCAGACAATTTTGCCCAAGATTGATTCAGTGCACTTCCCGTTGACTCCAGATAAAAAGAGCCGGATTGAATATTTATGTTGTAACAACCAAATGGTTTCTTAATTTTTTTTATGGTGTACACTACAGAGGAACACATGAGTCATGAGCTCTTAGATTTCATTACATTGAATAGTTGAAATTGTACACTATGGTTAATACATGTAAATTCTGGTTTGTGTCCATAGGTCAAAGAAATTTTTGACGACTCTCCTTTCTTTGTGCCAAACAACAGTGTCACCATAATGAATGGCACCAATGAAGGTACTATAACTTTTCTCTCTTTAACATATCCAAGATAATGAAGAGATGAATTGTAAATTAAACCCATGATGCAATGCACAGACTTTGAAACATCCCTTTTACCCCAGCTTTCCTGTGTCTGTTATTGTGATAGCGACCTGAGTATTTAATATAGCTGTCTGGATTAAACCTTGTCTGGAAGCCTCCCACGCTCAATATAAAATAATCCTCCACATTTTTTAATTTAAGTTGACATTCGTTTCACGCAAACCCAGACATTCGCATACTTGTCCGGTGGTTTTATGAGGTGTGACTAATTTCACATCTCAGACATGTTTAATTACCTGGGCTGGTCTTTGATGGTCCCAACATAAGATGTATACTTTCTATGAAGACATAAGTGATAAAAACCTTAATAATAAACATGCAGCACTTTATTAACTGAATATGTATATTAAAAAAAAAACACTTGCAGGTGTCAGATATCAAACTGTTTCAAATGTTAAATAATGTCTGGGTGGTGACTGGGTTTTACCATATTATTTAGAGTTAAAACTTGATATTTAGTATTCAAATTATGCATCTCAGTAGCATCATGGATTCTCTGTCTTACAGGGGTCTTGGCATGGGTTACAGTAAACTTCCTCACAGGTAAGGTATTGCTAAAAATATGTTTTTCATGGATTTGGATGACTGATATTAAAGTTAATTTACACAAGTTTATTGTACCTTTGTATTGCAGGTCATTTGTATGCTAAAACAAGGAAAACTGTTGGGATCCTGGATTTGGGTGGAGGTTCAACTCAGATTACGTTCCTTCCTAAGTTAAAGGTATAAAGATAAGACAAAAGTTTGCATACTGGCTAGTATGTTTCAGTATTACACTATCTTACATTGACACTATTCTCTTTCACAGAAAACTGTACTGTCTGCTCCTCCAGACTACATTGCCAAAATCAATATGTTCAACAGCACCTATGCGCTGTATACTCACAGGTCAGATAACTTGATGAAACAATAGTTATTTTGTCCCTTTTTAGACAAAGACCAACAACATGCAACAATTTGCCATCATCATTTTTACTCTTTGTCCATTTGCAGTTACCTTGGAAATGGATTAATTGCTGGCAGACTGGCAACTCTTGGTGCTCTTGGTGCTGATGGTAAATATTAATGTTTTTTTTGTTTGTTTACTTTATGTTTTATAATTGATGATTATTATATTTTCTCACAATGTTCAACCTTCAGGACTTGACTGGAAAGTTTTCAGAAGTTCTTGTTTGCCAAAAAAATTCAGAGAAGACTGGAGCTTTGGTGAACACACCTACAAAGTCAGTGGAACCCCAGATGGTGAGTGACCTCAGACTAATAATATAATAAAGTTAGAATCTTAAAGTTAGTCTTACAATACATATCTAGTCCCTTATTTTATGTTATATCCTGTTACACAAAAACTCTCATCACACTCACATTGACTTCAAGCTTCCATTTACAATCAGAATAAAACAGAATTCAAAATCAATGTGATTTTACCTTAGTTAACTTCTCTGGGGTTTTTCCTCTATGTTTACTGTCATTTCTGTCTCCACAGAAATACTAAAATGAACATTGTATTTAAGCAGAGAGAAAATAGTCAGTTCACTCAACACTCTTGATTCAACACTCTCATAGGAATATAAAAAAGAAACTAGTTCAGTTACGGGCTTGACATTTAGCCTGCCTGCCCCAATGTTGTAGTGCAGATTTACCAGTTATGATGGGCCTTGTTAAGCAGTCCATGTGGTTTCCAACTAGTAGAAATGACCAACCAGTTAGCTCCAGGTCATATGAAAGCTGCCTATTTGGAGCTTCCTGGGAGGAAATCTTTCCCTGAAGAATTTGAGAGACAGGAAAAAGTTAGGTCTACGATAAAGGGCAGTGAGGTAAAACTGCAACTGCAATTTACGAGATCTCAATAACAGGAGTATAAATACATTTGGTCCTTTATTTCCAGGTTATGCAGGGTACAAGTTGTGCTACCAAGAGGTGACGCGAGTGGTGAAAGGAATTGTGCACCAGCCCTTTGAGGTCAAGGGAAGCAGCATCTTCTATGCCTTTTCCCATTACTATGACAGAGCCGTGGATTCCGGTCTCATTGGTGAGAAGGATTACATTAGGGATAAGGGTCAATGCTACGGAATGTCTACACATGCATCATCTTTAAAAATTATGCTGAACAAACATGTATTGTCTCAATCCTTTAGACGGATCTCGTGGTGGTACTGTGGAAGTCAGGGATTTCAAAAAAAAAGCCAAAGAAGGTAAGACCTTGGAAATTCTCCCAATCTCCAATGAACACTCGGGTCAAAGTCCTGCCGCACACATTGCACAAACATAAACCCTTGGTGCTTATTTGCATTTGAGGTTCTCGACAATCACACTGGCTTCACAAAATGATAGCTCTGCCACCACATAAACATAGGTTACGCCTCTCCCACACAAATACTTCTGCCTTCTTTTGTAACTCTCCAACCCGCTATCTCAGCTTTTCCATGCCCATTGCGTAGGAGATTATGTTTTGAGTTCTTGTACAGAATGTGACGCATACGTCAGTTTGAGACCTGAAACTGATTCATAGAATATGGCTCACGTGGTAGATTGTGTCAAACAGTAAATGTCCACAGAGAAAATTTATCACTAGGGGGAATGAGTTGGCGCCTTATGTAAGGCGTTTATTTGTACGCTGACACTGTCGCATGGTCCCGATGAACCACATTTGGCACGTTGGTTATCCCAATGGCAGCAGCCCTGTGGGTACTCCCTCCTCCTTGACCGTGAGACAACACCTAATGCCCAATATCTAACTGGAGGCAGGCAGGACTTAATGTCTCACTCTGTGTGGGAACACTTGGTATTGCTTGGCTTGCCTCATGGTTTGGAGCGCGATCAGCACACGTGTATGAAATTATTCTTTTGTACTTTTTCTCCTGTTCTTCCCCTCTTCCCAAACTTTCACAAGTCACCTTGTCAGCTGGAGGAAAAACAAAACATTGGGAAGACCTGTTTCACAAAGATGTGCTAGACGGTTGTAGCAAACACAGTGCTGGTGCCTCAATGTCTTACGTAATTTTCCCCAGACTCTGACACACTGTAGCCTGACAATCAACAGTCTGTCCTCAGTAGATAGTGTATACACTATGCTTATCTCATGTGGGAGTCTTTTAGTCTTTTAATCCTGTCTTTATGTATTTTTATTGCCCAATTCTACACTCACAGAGTTACAAAATGTTTACATTGCAAAACTCATTGCCATGTGGTTGCAAAGGTTTTCAAAGCAGTTCTTAGTTCTAGGGTGTTCTGGGTACTGGGTAGTACTTTTTACTCAACAAGCCACCCAATTTGAGGAATAACTCACACAAACCATGTGGGATGAGAAATGCGTCAAGGTTTAATACTAAGGCTTAAGCTTTTTTTTCTTAAAATCCTTAACTGTATGAGCAATCGTTGCAGCTTCCCATAGCGAGCACAGCTAATTATAGTTCTTTTCTTTTTCTTAATCAAGTGTGCAACAAGATGACTAAATACCGCCCAATCAGCCCCTTTTTGTGCATGGACATGACCTACATCACATGCCTACTGAAAGAGGGATTCGGCTTCAAGGATAGCACTGTTCTGCAGGTGAGGCTGAAATATTAAAACAACAATTTAAAAATTGAAAACTCCTGTGAAGCTTGAACAAATTTACAGGAAATACACTATGCAGGAGATCTCAAACCTGATTTCTGTACATTTTAGATTGTGCTTAAATAAAGTGCCAAGAGCCTAAATTAACATTCCTTGGCAGTACAATTTTAGTCATAGATTAATGATCTTCTTTTTCTTCACAGCTTACCAAAAAGGTGAATAACGTGGAGACAAGCTGGGCACTCGGCGCCATCTTTGATCATTTCCACAATCTCAACATTCAATAAATCCTGCAGTCTTGTGGATACCAGCATGAGAAATGGAAAAATCTCACCTGGTCAAGCAGTCTCCCCCCTTCCTCCTACCCTAAAACTCTTAAGTGGGTTTCAGATCTGTCCTGCACTGCAGCCCTGAATCTCAACACTCTTCTTCCTCACCAACTAAACACCCAGAGAACTGTTCACAAAGAAATCACTATATTTTTGTAAAGATGGCCAGGCCAGTCTGCTATTTCTACTGTATGTTTACATTTTTTTTCAGCTGTCGTCTTAGACCCATTCAAAGCTCTTGATTCATGCTGTTGTGCAGGATATTGTGCAGTGTGACACATGTAAAAACATTGCGTTGAGTAGTGTAGCTTCCGTAGCTTCTTCTACAGTTATCTGTTATTAGTAGTGCTTGCACGGTAGTGTAGTGCTGTTTTAGGTTATGGTGAATTATATTGCAATTTCCATGTAGTGGCACGTAACACTTTAACGTAGCTGGTAGAGCTACAGCAATCGGTCTGTTTTAGTTTGGGATCCGCAGCTTAAACTGGTGATGATTGGACAAGTGCGGATCAGAAGAAATCAAATATAGTCACTTTACATGGGCACATGAATGCTGTTTTACATATTAATGAATAATGCATGTATTTACACATATCTGTTTGAATGGTAAAGAGGTTTCCATAGCTAGAGTTGTAGAGTTGAGGTGGAAGCTTTTCAGATAGATATCACTTTTGGTGAAAATCTATAGGTGCTTTTTTTAACCGGGGTCCAACCAACCATGGTTTTTAACACTGAATGGCATGCAGTTTAATACACTTGCACTGCAGCCATCATCAAATTAAAAAGGTATACAAATGCTTACATGGCTAAATCCTAGTATAAATAGCCTACTAAAATGACTCGAATGACTACTGGTCAGAGGTTATTAAAGTAGATATTATTCATTACTGTATTTAAACAGTTATTTTTACACCAACATGCAAACAGAGTTTAGAGTACCTTCAACCTCTTTTATGTCTTTAAACTTGGGTTAGTTATTGTGGATGGTTTTAGGGGGTCATTATGTGTAACAGCGTTAAAAAGTTGCTGTTGTGTGTATGCACAGATGCTCAGTTGTAATTGGGCAAAATTAGGTCAGATTTTGTTAAACGTGACAGGTGCATACTGCTGACAGATTTAGGACCAGTGTCAGAAAGTAACAGTCTTTGTTCACTTGGCAGTATCATGTTAAGTGCGTTTTGTGAATTATTGTACAAATATTTATTACATGGATACTTGCTGAATATGCTGTGAGGCGTTGTTGCATTTCTTAATCCATCAGCTTCAGTATACCTTTATATGTCGGTTTTCTACGACTGTATATATATCAGTATTTTTTTTTTTTTTTTTTACCAATTGTGTGTCATAGTTCAACATATAACATGAGATTATCATGTAGGCTTCACCATTATTAGTGGTATTCTATACAGCAAATGCTATAAATATGCTTTCCAAATGTGTTGTGTATGAAGTGATATTGCACATGTATGAATAAAAAATAAATACTAAATCTGTTGTTGACCAATGTTGTTGACCAACAAACTTGATCTTTTGGATCAAGTAACTTAAGTAACTTATAAATTCAACTTGAGGTATTCTTGAACTACTGACATTTCTCTTTATTATTTACAGTGTAGAATAATAATGTATAATCACATTAAATGTAAAAGAAAAACTTGATGTTCGTGTGTATCAGAAACTAAACACTATATCATAGACGATTATTGTTGCTTACCTTCTACTAGTGAGTTGAATGGGTCTCCTTGTTGAACAAAATCGAAAGTTCCCATGATTCGAATTCGCGCCATTTATGAAAAATACCCCCGTGTGACAATCATCGCGAGTGTTCGTGAATTATCGCGAGATAAAAGGGTTAACTTAGTTAAATAAAAGGTTGCTAATGCGATATGAAATGCGAACATTTATTCGTTAAAATAAGTTTATGACTTAGGACATTAGAACCCCAGTCAAATCAAAAGGTAAGTTTATGACGAGATACATTTTTCATCAGCTTGCAAATACTTCCCACCGGAGTTCTGTTGTATAAGAAAAGAGGCCTTACAAATGCATCCTTTTTGTGTGTGTGTGAAAATCTTTTAATATGTCATGGTTCTCAAATATATAAACCACCAAGAAGAGTGACATTGTATATCGAAAATATTTATTGAAAATTGATGTTCTTCCAAATCATACAATTTAAATAGCAGTTTCTGACAAGCCTAAACATTCTTAGGGGTGATATATGTTTCCTATACAAGGAAACCATGATTATCCTTGAAATTACATAATTATTTTAAAAACATGCCTTTATTTATCCTTCACAACTTTAATACCATTCAATGGGCCATTTTTATAGTATGAAAGTAACAGTCTGAGAAATTTGGTAGGGCATATTTACGTGTTCTATTAGCAAAGAAGGCAGAGCAGTAGGAGTTATATCTTATACAACATTTTCATATGGGTAATTGGAAACAATGGCATAGAAATGTTTCCCACATAGACAGAGGAATAAAATATAATTTATTAATTTACACTTATACATTCAATGAAGAGAATCTTCATAATAACAGAGATGCAGCAAATATCCAGTGTGCACCAAGTGTTTTACTTGCTGGCGTAAGCCATGATCTGCTCCTGTGGGTACAAGAAAAAAATATAACTACAGGTAAGTGACATTCAGGAAAGCAATATTTATAAGCAACAAGTGATGTTTCCATTGTCTAAATGAGGGAAATGCAGATCTTCCCGTTTTTGAACATGAAGGGTGACACACAAGTCCTCCTTACATTATGAGCAACATACACTAGGCTGTAACGTTTATAATAGAGTCACAGAATGTGGGAGATATCCCTCAATGCTTAAGACAAGTTCCAACCTCTGGTTGGAATTGCTTAGTAAAGGAATGAAGCCATTTCATAAGAGTGGCCTGTAATAAAAGGAGTGTGAAAACACAAGCCAACACCACCATGCACAGCCCTGCAACCCCACCCACACACTTTGGGTAACAGTAAATTTAGGGCTAAACATAGCCATAGTAGTAGCTCCTGACCATGTAAATTACAGGCACGGATAAGAGTAGAAAGACATGTAATCAGAGGACAAGCTGGGGTTGGGGGGGGGGGGGGGGGGGGGGTGGGGGGAGAAGAAGAAAGGGGAAGAAGTCAGAGGAAGAGTGAAAGAGGGAGCAAAAGTTAGAGGTGAAAAAAGGCTGGAAGTGCAACAAAGCGAAGAGAGAGGCACGGATGACAGAAAGGAACGAGAACACGAGAGGAACGCCACAGAGCTGAAGAAAAGAACAAGATTCTAAGTAAAGGAATACGATGGAGGAAGGGAACAAATTGTACAATAATTTCAGAGCAAGAACTAAAAATAAAACTTTTGAAGAATTTGTGGGAAGAAAAAAAAGATGCGATCATACTTTAAGTGGTGGCAGTGCATTGGTAGCCTGAAGGCCGAAGGTTCTCAGTAGAACCATTGGGGCTGCATTAGAGGAATACATCCTCTTCATGAGGTCAATGGCTGCCATCATGGGAAGATTGTGTCGCTGACGTTCAGTCTCAAACTCCAACAGGTGCTGCATGGCTCCTAGAGGTCAAGGATCAGCGGTTAAACAATTTGCATTTAAAGTAAAACTTTTTTTTTTTCTTAAAAACTTGACCTTTCTGTGATCAATTTGGTACTTGTTGCCATTCTGGAGATTTTCCTGATTAAAATACAATGTTTAACATATGGATGAATATAGCAAATATCAGTTACTGCTCTTTTTACATATTTGATTTTCTGAGAAACTGATTCTGAACTGAACTACAATTCCTCAAAAGATTTCCATTTGTGGCTACAAAGAAATTTATTAGCAGTTCTTGGCAGGAGTGACTAGCAAAACACTGTACACTGTTCCAGGACAACCAGTTCTTTTCTTTTACTAAAGACCACCCCCAATACAAGGAAATGGAAAAGAGCTTATGAAAACCCACAGATAGCTCCACTGGGCTCTTCTGAACCAAAAGTATGATACTTCAGGTATGAAATAAGACCTAAATATACATAGAGCAGAATTCCAAACCAACAAAAGGCCTTCTTGTTTATTTGTCACGTTTCTTCAACGTGAGGTAGTTCTTCACAATATAGCCGATATAATTTATGAGTTTCTGAATTTGATTATGCTTTTCGAAAAAGCACATTAGATGATTTTATCTAATCCTTATTAGATGAAAATATTGGATGTGTTTATTTGAAAATTGTCACACAAGTACAAATCCGGTGTGCACATACATTCGACTTGCTTCTGATGTTGGAACACTTACCAAGGTCTTTTCCATTATACTCTGCTTGGCTAAGAATTTGTGTGAGATAGGCCACATCGCCAAAGCCTAGATTGGCACCTTGGCCTGCTAATGGATGGACTCTATGTGCAGCATCTCTGAAATGAGAAAGATCAGGAAATATAGAGAAGAAACCTCAAGAGTAAGTAGCCATATTTAACAGGACTGGCCAAAGCTGCTGAAATTTCCTCCATGTGGCCTCTATATTACCTTAGATCCAATGTAATATCTCCAATAAAAGCAAACCTAAATGCATCATCACCTAGGTTTAACGTCTCAGACAACCACATAAAGATTATGGCTGAACTATAAACCTAACATATGGAGCACATTTACATGCACTAATGCAAACGCGTTAATCCAGTTTCCTTTATCGCAGTAAGGTCATAACCGGCTTAAGTGTAAACCAATAGACACTGGCTATGTGACAGGAAAGTGTCCTACCTGCGGATTTAAGCACATCCAGGTAGGAGACAAGAAAATATATAGCATATTCCGACTCTTTCTTGACCCCAGGAAATTATAAAAATGTGTTCTCATGTGGTACAGTCAAAATGCTGCATCTGTAACTGTATGAGGAGTCTGTACAAGTTATTCTTTGACATTTTTAATGCTTTAACTTCACAACTCGCACAACAAATAGAATAGTCAGATACACGAATTAGTAAATTTTGTTGCCACTAGTGGGGAATAAGCTGATTATTTAATAAAGTCTTCTAAATTGAGCTTGTTCAGGCACCTGCGCACAATGCCTGTCTACAAGAATCTGACGACTTGTGCTGTTCTTTTCTGCAACACTTTCAGGGAAAGCTGGAGGCTTTACGTGGGACTTTTAGTGATGAGCCGACCACTTCTAGTTGTGAGCAGGCTCAGATACAAACACTTAATAACTTTATGTTGACCAACCCCATCTTGATAAGTGAAATGATAAAGAAATCCAGTTCTTCTTCTTGCCAGCTGGATCCGGCACCTACAACCCTTCTGAAACACTGTACCTCTGTCATTTCTGCACCTATCTCACATCTTGTAAACATGTCTCTTCTCTCTGCCTCTGTTCCAGTCTCACTAAAGACGGCTGCAGTTACTCCTATTCTTAAAAAAACTAATCTGGACCCAACTGACTACACTAACTATCGCCCAATCTCCAATTTACCGTATGTCTCAAAAATCATGGAAAAGGTTGTCGCCACTCAATTGCAGTCATATCTATCTCTCAACAATAGTTTCGATTTATTTCAGTCTGGTTTTCGCCAAAACCACAGTACTGAAACTGCATTAGCAAGGGTTATCAATGACCTCTTACTCTTTGGTGACTCGGGAAACCTTTCCTTACTTTTATTACTCGACCTCAGCTCAGCTTTCGATACTGTCTGCCATAAAGTCCTACTCATGCGCCTCTCAGAGATTGGTATCTCAGGAGCCGCGTTATCTTGGTTTTCCTCCTATCTGACAGATAGAAAATACTACATCACTATGCACAATTACAAATCTCCAACGGTCACTCTCAAACAAGGTGTTCCACAGGGATCAGTTCTCGGCCCGTTACTATTTATTATTTACATTTTGCCTCTTGGACAAATTATTCGCCGCCACGGTTTTCAATACCACTGCTACGCCGACGATATCCAAATATATACTGCTTGTCGACCGGATTCTATTCTCCAGACCACATTACTATCATCATGTATTAATGAATTAAAGACCTGGCTCAACTCCAATTTTCTCAGTCTGAATCTGACTAAAACAGAAATATTAATCACTGGCCCTCCGTCTCTAACAAAAAATTTAAGTAATGTTCCCAGACTTGACCTTGAAGTGACATCAATAATTCCATCTGCCACTGTCAAAAACTTGGGTATCATTCTTGACCCTGCACTGACGTTCGACAGTTACATTAGTCAACTTTGTAAAGCGTCCTTTTTTCATCTCCGCCGTATTGCCAAACTCCGTCCCTATGTCAGCTCAAAAGACGCTGAAGCACTAGTACACGCGTTCATCACATCTCGCCTCGACTACTGTAATGTTCTTTTTTCTGGACTACCAGCACACTGTATTTCACGTTTACAATATATCCAAAACTCTGCCGCAAGACTACTAACTCACACTAAAAAAACTGCCCATATCACTCCAATTCTGTTTAAACTGCACTGGCTACCCGTGTCATCCCGCATTACTTACAAAATTCTTC